GAAATGATGACGTCCGATGCCTGTTAAAAATTAGCAACTCAGGGAGAAATCAGCGCTTGACTTCAGCAGGTTTCACTCAGAAGTTGATGGACTAACCATTTCTCGGATTGCTAGCCCATCTCCTGACCGGCACTTACCAGCAGAGATGTGCATAAACTGCAAATTACATTGATCATCAGCTTGAATACAAAAGATTTGGTGAGCCCTACTAGCAAAAAGTGAATATCCACGTACTTCCCACACTAGAAGGGGCCATTCGACGAGTAATACCGAGTAGATTACACCCGCAGTGAGCAGCAAACTTCTCATTTCTTTCTTGCAGTCAATCCTTGCTCCCTTTTTATTTGGGCGGGGATGCTTCTGCGGTCCTTTTTTGCTCTCTGCCCAATCTTTGGGTGCCAGCTTTTTGTATTGCTTCAGTTGTCTGTACGTAGAAAAGATGAAAGGTGTGTATGCCTGTGTCAAGCAACAAAACATATTCCGGTAAGCTTGTAGTTCAAATAACACTCAAGCTCGTCAGTGACCTCGTGGAACGCACCATGAGCAAGCAGCTATTGAGAGCCAAACAAGTCGTGATTCTGATTTTTAGCCAATGCGAGAATTGATGCTGGCAGAGTTCTGGAGGTTAGCAAACCCACAAAATGTAGAGATCAAGATGTGTGAAGACATACAATTAAGTGATGAAGCTTGCTCAAAGGATGTCCAGGGAGATTAGACGCAACCTGGAAAGCTATTTCGGGGTTGGCGGATGTCATGTTGACTTTGACGAGAGCCATCTCGATGGAGTCAACGGCTCGTTGCAGATATATATACTGAGAGTTGGAAAGAGAAAACACTGTCACGATGACTGATGGTGCCCAGCCCAGAATTAATTTCGAGGTAAGTATGTATTTGGACCCAATATTTGATCGAAGAAGAGTGAAAATTCAGTTTACTTGCGACGCTGACGATAGCTACTCCGACGAATATTATGTTGAGCATCACAATCACCGAGTATGGAACGATGTTCAACTTTCTGTCGGACGAATTGGATTGCCACGGAGGATCCCACCGTGCGCAAATGTACTGGCAAGCAGTGCTCCAGCAAAAACACCTGTCCGAGGAGATTGAGTTGATATCAGTTTTCTGATTCAGACCCAGCGATGAAATATCTGTCTTCTATCTTACCATACACCAATCCAGATAATCACATATTTGATTCCCGGTATGTGGACTTTGGCTTCTGGATTGCTGATCCCATAATCTATTGCCAGTTGCATCCCTAGTCCAACTACAGCAACTAATCTCGAAGAATAGAACTCGAATTAGTCCAACACCAACTGCTGGAGCCTGCGTCTCGCTTGCACAATCGGGGATAAATTCAACGTACAAATGTCATACAAGATGTAACAGACCGTCACACAGCCCGTAGCATTGGGCCTCAAGACACCATCTGTGGGTTTAGGATGGAATGGTCAGGACATTTAGACATACAACGGGCGAGTGGCGTTCTTATTGTTGAGATGACTTACGTCTGGTTATATACCCTAGCATGAATTTTCGACTGGACAATCTGACTAGAATGACGCTTAATGCCATGAGAAGCATTCTATGGAAGAGGCAACGGATTTGTTAATCTCTCATGATTTGTGTGTTGCTTGCCCTGTGGCGATAAAAGATTGTTTTGGCGTTACTGACATGAGATGGGCCACCAGCATAGTTATCAGGGTTACCCTCGACCATGAATAAGTGCTGGGCTGTGGATGGTTGTTGTTTTTGGTTGTGAGAGGAGTCAGCGTCTTCAGTAAACTCCATTCGGGGCTTGAAGAAATCTATTCAGCGGCCCAAGTGAATTGGCCATTAGACTGAGCTTACATCATTTTTGGCTTTCAGTAAGTTGTGAATGGCATAGTAAACATTGGTGAAAGATGAGTTCGAGGTGACGCAAGTGAGTCCGGGAGCTGTGTTAAGAGATAGTCGAGACATTTTGAGGAAGCCAGACTGGTCTGTGTGGAGAGATATTCAAGATTCAAATCGCAGTTAGGATGAAGCAGTCACCGGCTATTCTTGAGTCTTTCCAAACGGGTTGCAGTAGGAGAGGCGAGGGAACAAATCGGTTGTGACTTGATTTGATGAAGATGTCGTGGAGGAAGCTTAGAGTGGCAATCACATCGACAAGGGGGGATGGGGAACGGGACACAGTTGCGATGGAAGCAAGGAAACAGGTATATCTTGTGGAGTAGAGAATATCGCCGGCCGTCAAAGGATGCGTGTTGAGGACATGTGGGACTCTTGGAGTTTAAGGGATAAAAAAGATGGAAGTCCTGAACCACTGCTACTCTTGACAAGGGAACACGGGAACAGCTCAGAGGAAAAAGCTGCAGAAACGTTGGAGGGGCGTATGCGCTGGAATGACCAACGGAGGGCAGTGAGAAGAGGCTCGTCAAACAAATTTGGTACAGCCTTGAGGTTTGGGATGCTGGATATGTATCTACAGCTTGAGAAACTAGGACTCAAACTTCACTCCAGTGATAGAGGATCTCCAGCAGTTCGTGACTGATGATACTTTGTAGGGAAAACTTTCAAAGATCCATACATACTGTTCATGGCGCTGACTTTCAGGCTCGGGCGTGGCTAGAGGGGCCATTGAGGAGAACATGGCTCATCGGAGTTGGAGAACTGAAACACGCTCGCGCTCTGTTTGACACATCCCAGAAAAGGTGTGCAATAGGTGCTGTATGCTGATGTTCTTGAAAACACGCTTGGGTCTGACTGAGACTGTCTCAAGTGGATGTGGGGAATCAATTCATGTATAGCTTCCTCGGGCTGCGTCGCAGTCGACTGAATCCTTCTTCTTTCCATCTTCAATTGACCCATATCGTATCGTATCACAAGGTTCTCCACGAGCATGGTACATATTCATTAGAGTGAAGATGGCATTGAGCTTGCGTTAGATGTTGCAACTCTACACCTCTGCAAGAGTCGCTGACGCATCCAGAATCTACCAGGCTGCCCGGCAATTGAAGAATCACTTCGATGCAACTCCCCAGAGGCAGCATATGTCTGAAGTCAGCCCGGCTGGCGAGGCGCCGGGTGAGTTTTCCCCAGGTTGTAGGTCAGACAAAAAGATACAGGAGATAATAGGGGATTCATAGGGGATCTTTTTCCGGCAACCTGCCCCAGACGGGCGTTTCAATGACCGGCGGGGATGGGTTATGCATCTACTCCTAATCTACTCAAGTCCGACACGTCCGGTCACTCCGAGCCTCTATGAAACCGACTGACACTGAAAGTGAAGAAGAATACTGGGGAAGCAGAGTTAACCGTTCTTCGGGAAGCGCGCTAACCCTGTCCGGGGTTTGCTCCGCGTAAATGCATGTTCGATCGGGTGAAATAGTCTCTTATGAAGACAACTGTTGCTTCTTCTGCCACAGACAGCGGATTTTTGTTGACGAGGAAGCGAATTGTTTGCCCCTGGCGCTGGGATTGACCACCGAGTGAGTTTATGTATAAGCACTTTGGATGTCGGTCCGGAAGATCAAGCACTGGGTGTCTGCTGACAAAACATGAGACAGGTCTCATCAAGCTGGACCACGTCCTCGTGGGGCTCGTGCCAAGCTTGAGAGCTGCAACTCTGGCTGTCCCATTGTCAAAAAGGAAAACACTTCTCCGCCGGCAGAGTGCCGCCGAGGACACCGCCGCGAAGAGCTGTCATGACGAAAATCGGATGCGCCCTGCCCAGCCTAATTAATGCTAAGCACTTTTGCTCAAACGAAACCAGCATCCAGCCCTGTCAAGTCCTCGGATGTGGAGAAATGTCGTCGAAAAGGCTGTCCCGAAATACGTGCCACTTCAAGGACCCCACTGCGGTATGTAATTTGATCTTAAGGCAGGCAGATCCCGACATCTTGGTAAAAAAAAAAGTATCAAGACATCTTCTCTGTTTTACAATAATTGTACAGCACCACATGAGTATAGATGATTGAAATTAAATCCAGAAGGCCGTGCAAATATGTACATTTTAATTGTGTTATTAAAACAATCTTCCTCTTTTGGAAACAAAAAAATTAAAGTGAGAGTGGAAGAATAAGTTTAATCCAATTTAAGCCCCAATCCAGTCACGATACTATCATTATCTCCTGTGAGTTTTGGGGTGAATCAACAAGATGGATTTGGTATCAGTCACCAAAGTTTTCCAGTCATGGATGCGACAAACGATGAAACACTGACCTTCCTCTTTCCCGATCATCAATTCTACACCCCATAAACCCAATGTGACAAAGACATTAATCCTATTCCCAAACATCAAAGAACAAGTCAATTAATGGACGACAATAGACCAGAAGGATTGCTCGTACCATCTCCAAAAGACTTGATGGCCTTCGTTATTGAGTAGCAGGAGATGTGTATAGACAGAGATCTGTGACAAATCCAAAGAAATTCAGTTTCTCTAGAAAAGTCTTGTTGGTAGCAATGAGAAGGAGTTCCACACAGACTTACCAGGACAAATCGAGAGTAAGAGACTATAACCGTCATGATTCTGACCATGGGCTCTTCATCACTCAACCGCCGAGTGTAAGCAAAGCCGCTATTGGCACGTTTGATGGCAACGACGATTCGACTGGCTCCGTATAGCGCCACAACTCGATATAAGAGATTAATGAACACCGGCAGGGGTAGTGCGGACGAACAAGCCAATAAGAAATCCAGACCAGCTCCAAAAGTTGTAGATACAAAACCAATGATGGCTGTCGCACTGGTTGACGGTAAGGTCATTGGTTGATGAGTAAGAAGTGTTGTTAAAAACCAGAAGAGGGAAAAAAAATGATGATAATCACAGACGAGCGGAGAATCATTGGTGGAAGTGGCGGTACGGCCTCAGATTTGAACGAGCTGAAGAACGAGACTGGATCTAGTTTTTCAGATGACAGCCCTATTGTTTATTGCCCGGAGAACAAGTTTACGAAAAAGATTCAGTAGCCGGAGGACGACTGTGATCTCGCTATCGGACGTACAATAGATATTGTAGCTAAGATAAGCCATCATCAAGCTAGTCTCGACCACATTTCCTTTGCGATTGCTGATAGCAATCCCGCTCAAGAAGGCCACGCTCGTGACACTCACGCCGATCAAGGTAGCCGACAAACTCTCTCGGGCCGCGTAAGCATACGAGTCGAATAGGAAATAGGCCGACCCCACATAGACCGCTGCCGATAAGACAAGAAAGACGAATGAATACGACTCGTTTTTCGCTTCCACTAAATACCGCGATATCTGTCCAACTGATTGGATGCAGAGCAATGTTGAACTGTTGTCCAAGACCCCCTAAGAATCAGTTTTTTTTTTTGTTGCTCTTGAATAAATTAATGGATGGAAAATATCAAACTCACATTCCCTCTAGTAAGACAAACACTGGAGTCGACCACGTCAACACGACCTCCCATAACGACAACATTCGACCTATCAGATTGCTCGCCAGGATAGGATTTCCGATGTTCTTACTTTCATCTGGTGAATAAATATTCAGCCAAAAGAGCAGGAAGGTTGGAATGACCAAATTTTGAAGCAGTCCAAACTGAGGTTATCGATCGTATAAACCCCCCGTTCAAACACAGTAAGCCGATCAGCCACATCTTTTCTGGTCGAGTTCACAGAGGGATAGATCAAAACTGAGTTAAGGTCGAGGACTCAACTACTTTGGAGACAAATGCAAAGCGCGTGTTTCTGAAGATAAGGTATAAAGTCGACAGGGCCGAGTAGTACAATGCCAAAGACTTTTGATTTGGGTTGATCGAGTTGTTGAAGATACCCAAACCCCGCCAAGGAATCGTATCAGGCCATTCAAACGAGCGTGTATGTGGTCAGCCAATCAATTGCACTACATAGTCTTTTTCTTTCACACACATGTACACTCAAATTGAAGGCCCACTCACAGCTGATAAAGCCAAAAAACAATCTTTTCCTGCAATCTAATTAAAAAAAGAAAGTATTATGTCAGCCTGAATGCTTTAAATCCACGCTTGTGAGAAGTATTAATCCGGAAGATATTGAGAACGAACATCGAGTGCCAAGGGAAGGTAGAGTAGGATTTGAAGGAACGAGGCTGTCCGACCGGCCCTGGTGATGAGTCGGTTGATCATGATCTCGTTCTTGAGACTACGATTGCAAAGCTTGGGTTCCTGAGTTCCAGGGCGACGGATTGAACCGGTGTGACTTGAGTGGGAAAAATTGATGGCCGCGTCGTTCTGATGTGGAGGATGTGAATTGTGGTCAAGATGCGGTTCAGTGTTGAAGGCGTCGGTTGAACATCATCTCTCGTGTGTCTTGAGTGTCCTGCTGAGTGTCTGCCTGCTGGTATTCCAGCCGAGTTATGTAGTCGTAACTGTAAGTTTCA